TATCTATCTATCTATCTATCTATCATCTATCATCTATCTATCTATCATCTATCTATCCTCCCTCCCTCCCTCCTGCCTGCCAGTTTCTGAGTTAGAGAGGCTACAAAAACCCTAGAACTTTCTTATTTACAAAAAGAAAAGGGTAAGGGGGCAGGATGTGAGATTCGACTGCCAACATGAGGTTGATGGCAGTACAGATTTATTGATCCACTTTGTTGTTCAGAGACTAGTGATCTCTTCTAGAATCAGAGCATTTCTGCAATAGAAATCTGAAGATCATCTTGTTTGAACTGCTTTATTTACACATGATGGGACCTCTGAGCTCCAGAGATAAGTGGCTGCCAGAGGCCAAAGAAATTATTCTGTTGTTTCCCTTTCTGGACAGTAAACTTTTTATTGGAAAATCATATACGTTTAGAAAGAAAAATCCAAGATAGATTAGATCCTTGTAACCAGTTTCAAGATCAACATGAAATCATTACCAACCAACCACATCAAAATAATTCCTGCTGCCCTTCTTCCAGTTTCTACACACATCCTCACTGTCAAAGGTAGCTGTGATTCTACATACCAGTAACTTAACTTTTCCTGTTTTGAGTTTTATGTAAACTTAATGACACCAGAACCCCCATTTATTTGGGCTTAGTTTCACCCAATGTGAAGCTCATGAAATTAGCTTTGCTGATTGCAATAGTCTTGTCATTTTTTCAGGGTGCTTCACTCTAGGTACACATACAACACAGTACATTTATTTTCCTGTTGGTTCATTTAATTTTGGAGAGTCTAGTGCTAATTTTCATTTTCATCCTTATTATTTTGCTTCTGGTTATTAGTATTTTTTAATTTGTTTTTATTAAATTTTGTTGTATTTCATACAGAATATCTCAAACAATCTGAATCATCTTTATAACCCTGTCCCCACCAGCACCCTCCCATAGCCCCTCCTTTGGAACCCATATACTCTGTCCTGGGTGTTAAGGCCCACTGTGTCAAGTCAGTGTCCCCAGACATTCCCCAGTGCAAGTCCATCCACTTGCAGTCTAGTCAGATCCCTCTCATCTATCTATCCAAACACCTATCATTTTTTCTTTCTTTTTCTTTTTTTTAAACAGAGCATAGGGTGGGGGTTTATTTACAGAGGAGTGGGCACCCCCCATTTATGCTTGCCCTAGAAAGTCCAGACTCAGACAGATTCTGTGACTTTCTGACAGCCGCATAAAATGGAGTTACCTTCTGCCATTCTCAGCTTACATAACCTTAGCTCCTCCCCACATGCAGCTAAGGTCTACTGGTTGGGTAGGAGGGGTATATGACTCCCCCCGGACTCCTTGATGAGCAAGCACACAAACTTCTTAAAACAACCAGGAGAGAGCAGCACACACTCCCTGCACCTGCTAGCCAGGGGTACACTCCCATAATCCTACCAGGTAAGAGCCCAGCAGGAAGGCCATAGCATATGCCCACCAGAATAAGGGTACACAGAGATGCAGGTGGGAAGCAGTGTGGGCATTCCCTCTCTCTGGCCTTGTTTATGCTAGGTGAGAGCTATACCACTGTGGTGCTCTCCAGTCAGCTTCCAATTCCAGTCATAATAGATTATGCCTGCAAATTAGCCTTTGGGATTGAGTGCCCCCCCCGACACAAACACACACACACATAACCATATAGAATAAATGCAACAGTTGGTTCTAGCATTTAGGAGGTAGAGGCAGGAAGATCACAAATTCATGGTCACAGGTGTTCAATGAGTTCAAAGTCAGCCTGGGCTACAAACTCTGTCCCCAAAGTAAAATAAGCTTAAAAGTTGGGTTGGGGATACGGCTCAGTGGTAGGTAGAGTTTTTATCTGTCATGTGGGTAGAACCCAGCACTACACACACACCAAAAGCCCACTCACCTGTGCACACACAGGGAGACTGCAGTCCTAATCTCTGACAGACACTCACCACTGCCAACCCCGTTCCTGCCCCGCCTGCCAGACTGATGGCTGTCCTGGTCTGCCCAGGCTCAGCTTGGTCAATGAGAACCCTGGGCTCGGACAGCTTTCTGCTTTGGTTCCCATTAAGACTACTCTGGGCTGTCTGGACAGAGGGGCTCTAGTTCCTCAAAAGGTTTCCACTAGCCCAGGGCCAGCCACTCCTTCCAGAGTGTGCCTCCTGGTACTCACTAATAAGACACAGTGCTCAGACCTTGGTGCTTGTTGGGAAGAGCCAGGTATTCTGTGGAGGGAGTCCCTAAGGCTGAATTTTTATTTAAAAATTATTTTTTTGTCTTTTTGAAACAGGGTCTCCCCATAGCCCCAGCTGGCCTGGAACTCACAAAGATATGCCTGCCTCTGCCTCCCAAGTGCTGGGATTAAAGGCGTGCACCACCATGCCTGGCTATAATCAGTGTTAACTGCTGAGCCATTGCTCCAGCCCCATTATTATTTTCATTTTATGTGTATGACTGTATTGCCTACATGTATATAAGTACACCCATGTTGTGCAATGCCCTTGGAAGCCAGAGGAGTCCGTCAGGCCCCTGAAATGGAGTTACAAATTGTTGTTAGTCATTCTGTGGATGCTGGGAATCAAACCTAGGTCCTGTGCAAAAGCAGCCAGTACTCTTTAACTGCTGAGCCATCTCTCCAGTCCAAAAGCTGAATTAAAAAAAAAAAAAGTTATGCGTTTGAATGTTTCACCTCCATGTATGTAAGTACACCCATGTCATGAAGTGCCAGCTGAAGTCAGAAGAGGGTGTGTGATCCTCTGGTACTGGAATTACAAACTGTTGTTACCTGCCATGTGGGTGCTGAGAACTGAACCTGGATCCTCTGCACTGAGCCAGCTCTCCTGTATGACTTGATTTTTCTTTTCTTTTTCTTTCTTTCCTTCCTCCCTTCCTTCCTTCCTGTTCTTAATGCAGGGCTTCATGCATTCCAGGCTGGTTTTGAACTCACCATGTAGTAAAGAATGACCTTGAACTCCTGATTCTCCTCCCTCCACCTCCTGAGTGCTGAGGTGACAGGCATGCACCACCACACTAGGTTTACGTGGTCACTAGATGGAAGTCAGGCTTTGTGCATGCCAGGCGAGCACTCTGTCAATTGAGTCCCAGGACTAGCCCTTGTTTTGAGACAGTCTTACCGTGTATCCCTATCTGCCTCAGTCCCTCCAGGAAGGAATGACCAGCATCAAGGACCATGCCTGGATCTTCCAGTTTATAGATTCAGCTTCCAGACCACAGAAGCTATGGGGTCACTTGACAACAGATGGGCTCACAGAGAATCCAATGAGCCCAATGCAAAGTGGGGAGGCCCTCAAGGACACATGACTCTGGTGGGCAAGGGACTAACAAGCTGCAGTCTATCCACAGCCGGAAACAACTGAACAATGAAAAACAGCTAACCTCTAGCACCACAGCAGGTGACACACGGATCCCACAGACACTGGGCTGGGGCAGAGAAGTCAGTGCCACAGGCTCTAGTACCACAGCAGGTGACACATGGATCCCACAGACACTGGGCTGGAGCAGAGAAGCCAGCGCCACAGGCTCTGGCCTATGAGAGTCTATTCAAAACACCCTGGGAAAAGGCTCCAGCAATCCCTGTTCCCATCTCTACCTTGAGAAAATTAACAAAGACTTAACTACATCTACAGGGTCATTTGCAAGTACACAAACATGTCAATACAGCCTACATAATCATAGTAGATAGATTAAATGATGATGCATTTTGTTCGCTTTTCTTATTTTTTTTGGTATTAATGCTTAAAAATTTATTATTTTTAACGTATATATGAGAAAGTATACCATGTCATGCAATACCCAGAAGAGGTATCAGATCCCCTAGAAACGGAGTTACAGATGGTTGTTAGCCACCATGTAGGTGTTGGGAATGGAACTCTGATCCTCTGCAAGAGTAGCCAGTGTTCTTCTTCTTCTTCTTTTTTTTGGTCTTTTTGAGACATGGTCTCCCTGTAGCCTCAGTTGGCATGGAACTCACTATGTAGACCAGGCTGGCCTTGAACTCACAGTTTCATCTGCCTAAACTCACAAATGCTGGGATTAAAGGTGTGTGTCACCATGCCCATCAAGAGTAGCTAGTGCTCTTAAATGCTGAGCCAGTTCTCCAGTCCTCCTCTTTTTTTGGAGATAAGGGTTCATGTAGCCCAGGCTGGCCTGGAACTGATTTTATAGTCAAGGGTGACCTTGATTTTCAGACCCTCCTGACTGTTGGGATTACAGGTGTGTACTACCATGCTCAGTTTTTGGGGTGATGGGGACTGATTACAGGTGTTTATGGATACTAGGCAAGCACTCTGTCAACTGAGCTAGAGCAGCAAGCCTCACAATACATCTTTGGGGAATGATGAGATAGCTCAGTCAGTAAAGGCGCTTAAACTGCAAGCTTGGTGAGCTACGTTGGATCTTCAGAACACCTACATAAAGGTAGAAGGAGAGAATCAACTCCAGAGAGCTGTCCTCTAGGTTCCACATGTGCACAGTGGCAAGAACATCTACCATATCATATACACATACAATGATAATAAAAATTTTTTAAAAATATTTATTATTTTTATTTTATGTGTATGTGTGTATTGCTTGTAAGTGCACCCGTGTCGTTCAATGCCCAAGGAGGACAGAAGAGACTGTCGGATCCCCTGGAACTGGAGATACAGTTGTTAGCTGCCATATGGGTGCTGGGATTCGAACCTGGGTCTTCTGGAAGAATAGTGTTCTTAACTGCTGAGCAATCTCTCCAGCCCCAATAAAAAATCTTAAAAAGAATGCCTCATGTGAGTTGGGCATGTTGGTGCACACCTTTAATCCCAGTACTCGGGGCAGAGGTGGGCGGATCTTGTGAGTTCCAGGCCAGCTGGGGCTACAGTGAGACCCTGTCTCAAAAACGACTGGGGGGGGCGGGAAGCCTCGTGCATGTGTGTGTTTGAGTATCTGTGTGTCTGTATGTGCACATGCGCATGTATGTATAGTGCTAGAAATGGAACCCAGGTCTTTGTACATACTATGCCAATGCTCTACCACTGAACTACACCCCCAGCCCCATACTGGGAGAATTCTAGGTAGGGGCTCTACCACTGAGCCATGCCCCCAGCCCTCAGTGAGCGATTCTAGTCAAGCGCTCCCTCCCTGAGCCACATCTCTAGCTCCTCATTGGGGGAACATAGGGGCTCTATCCCCGAGCCACACACCCAAGCCCCTCACTGGGGGATTCTAGGCAGAGGCTCTACCACTGAGTCATGTCCCTGGCTATCTAGGATGTATCTAGACTGAATTGGTATTGCCTGCATGTAGGTAAGTGCAATGCCCGAGGAAGACAGAAGAGGTTGTCGGATCCCCTGGAACTGGAGTTACGTACAGTTGTTAGCTGCCATGTGGGTACTGGGATTCGAACCCAGGTCTTCTGCAAGAACAGCCAGTGTTCTTAACTGCTGAGCCATTTCTGCAGCCCCAACTACATGATTTTTTTTTAACTCATAGAACTAGGGGCTGGAGAGATGGCTCAGAAGGTAAAGGTGCTTGCTGCCAAACCTGATGACCCGAGTTCCATCCTCAGGACCCACAAATGGTGGAACAAGAGAACTGACTGACTCATGAGAAGTTGTCCTGACCTCCACAGGCATGCTTAGGGACATGTGCAGACAAATACACACACACACAAAATAAATAAATAAATTTAATTAAAAATTTTTTTTGGTTTTTTGAGACAGGGTCTCCCTGTAGTCCCAGCTGGCCTGGAACTTACTATGTAGGCCATGCTGGCCACCACACCCAGCTATTTTAAAAAATTTTATAAAACTATACTCTCAAAATTTGTTGCCCAAGACTCATGTACAAAAGCAAACACAAGAGCCATACAGTACCTGGTCCTTGGTTCTCCCTTCTCGTTCTCTGATGTACGTGGTGACAATTCGCTCTGTCTCCTCTCGCAATCGAGGGTAGGAGCTGAGCTGGGGGGGCAAGCAAGAGGGGTGCATTGGCGAGGTCTTTGGGACATAAACCATGAGAGATGAGGCAGGGGAGGGAATTGGGGCGGGGGGGCATCACCAGGTCCCCACTCTGCTCCTGTTTCCCAGCTGTTGAAAGACAGGAGCAGGCCAGTGGGGTACAGTGGAGTGGAGAGGGGAAGAGGGTGGTCAAGCATGCTGATGGCTGCTCTGCAAAGCTTGTGAGCAGAAGGTGGAGATGGGACAGAAAGCAAGTGACATGCGTTTGCCACCCAGAGGTGTCCAACAGCCCCCTCCAGCCCAGCCCGAATGATGAGGGTAGGAGCACAGAGGGCCTTGCTTGGGAATGATGACAATGTGGGTGACTGAGCTCAGGGGATCTCCTTGCTGGAAACCATCACTGTGAGGTGGGCACCCAAGTGGCAAACACCCTCAAAGCCCCTTGCTTTTATGAAGAGTAATGAGTGACCTGAACCACACATGTGGGTGGCATCACATTTCCTGAGTTTAGAGAAGATCCATAAATTGGGGGAAATGGAGACACTGTTAAAATGCACCACAGCTGCTGTGGTGGTAGCAAGGGACCCCTTGTTCCTATGGGCTCATGGGAACATTTGGAGATGTTAAAGGTCTCCAGTCTCCATTAGTCCCCCAAATCCTTCCCCCATTCTAGAAGTCTGCCATTGCCCAGCATGGTTCCCCTGAAGCAGGGTGGTCCAGGAGCTCAGGGTTGACACTAATGGATGGGAGATAGATGATAGGGTGGGGAACTGATGGGGAGTATGGGAAGATTGAAGTCTGTTACCTTCTCACCACACTTTTTAATGACTGTGGCCAGCTCTGAGACCACGAGGTCAACACACTTCAAACTCGGCTCTTTGAGTTTTACAAGCTGTTTTTTCACAATGGCTTCAAAGGCCATGTCAGGGGTGAAGAGCCCCGTCCTGGGTCATGCGGAGGAGGGCAGGATGAGGTGGAAAGACACCCAGGGAGCAACAGCAGGCCACACACACAAGAACACACATTGAACAGGAGACGAGAGAGAGAGAGAGAGAGAGAGAGAGAGAGAGAGAGAGAGAATCAAGAATGAGCTGGTTAGTGCAAGCGCCAGGAAGCCTGCACCTGCATTTGCCCCCAAAATTGCTTCCAATCATCAAGGCCTTGGGGGCAGAGGGCTGGGCTATAGTTCAAGGTCACTTGTGCTAAAAGACATTGTCATCATAGTCAGACATGTGTGTGTTTGTATGTTTGTGTGTCTTCAATGATCACATCTGTGACAGCAGCCCCTCGTATGAAAATTAGCAACTTCTCTGTTTTTTTTTTTTTTTTTTTTGGTTTGTTGGAGACGGGGTCTCTTTGTAGCTCCAGCTGTCCTAGAACTTACTATGTAGACCAGGCTGGCCTTGAACTCACAGAGATCCGCCTGCCTCTGCCTCCCAAGTGCTGGGATTAAAGGCGTGCACCACCACACCCGGCTGGGTTTTTCTTTTTTAATTTTAAATTTTAATTTATGTGTATGAGTGTTTTGCCTGTGTGTATATAAGTGTACCACATTCATGCAACGTCTGCAGAGGCCAGAAGAGGGCACAGGATCCCCTGGAACTGGAGTTAAGGATGGTTGTGAGATGCCAAGTGGATACTGGGAACTGAACTCAGGTCCTCTGCAAGAGCAGTCGGTGCTCTTAACTGATGAGTCATATCTCCAGGCCCTCTGGGTTTTGTTTTTTGAAACAGCGACTCATGTAGCCCAGACTGGCCTCAAATGCTCCATATACCTAAGAATGACCTTGAACTTGTATTTTCTGCTTCTGCCTCCCAAGTGCTGGGCTAACAGGTATGCACCATGCAGCCCAGTCTGTGGGGTGCTGATCATCGAACCCACAGCTTTGTGTGTGCCAGGCAGGCATTGTACCAACTGAGCCACACCCCAGCTCTCCTCTGTCCAACTGAAGAAACAGATGAGGACTTTGCAGTAATAGAACAGAAAGCTGAAGCAGGAATTCCCTGCCACTCTGGAGGGCCGGGGACATCCAGACCACACAAGCAGACGCCCTCCCCCTCCCCCTCCCCCTCCCCCCTCAGCATTTCAGCCACCTGGCAGGAGCAAGCTCTCCTGGGAAACAGGCCTTCAGCTTGTGTATCCTGCATAGTGCCTATGAACCCAGGCCCTTGTGACCAGGTAGATGGAACATGGGCTGGCCCAGGGGGTGTGGGGGTGGGGATGAATAGGGCTAGCAAGGGCCCCAGCAGGAGCTGGCAGGACCACTGAGGAGCCCAGGCAGCTTTGTGAAGCTGGGCACTCAGCTCTCATTATGCTATTGGCATTTGCTCCTTCTCCAGAGCCACGGGGACAGAGGAGTGACTAGCTTAAGGATGCCAAGCATTTGTCATTTGTTAAAAAGGGTGACAAATAACAGCTAGGGAGCTTCACAGAGGCTTGGCCTCCAGCAGCTGATGTTGGGTGCCCCAATCTGCTTCTGTAGCAGGCAGCAAAGAGACATAGCTAGAAGGTACCCCCATTCCACCATACACATGCTAGGCTTGGTATCAGGATCCCAGGAGGCCTGTTAACAGGTCGGGCTGGTTGTGGACACTCCCGGTACCCCCAACCCCTCATGAATGGGTGAAGAATGACATACACCCATCCCTGTGTGATTCTTGCAAATGGAGGTAACCTGAGGCCTGATACCAAGCCTGCGTCCCGTGTCCATGGGTGCGGTACCTTGCCGGTGCACTGCCTAACTGTATTGATTAGCTCCTGGATAACCAGGTCCACGCATTTCAGACAGGGCTCTTTCAGCTTGACCACCTGCTTTTTCACAATGGCCTCGAATGCCAAGTCTGGCGTGAAGAGCCCCGTCCTAGAAACATCCGGACCAGGTGGGGGAGCAGAGAGAGATAAGTCAAAGAGAAACAGAGGGCCTGGTCAGCCATTTCTTAAGTACAGGCAGGAAACCAACAAGGAAAATGGTCATATCCAGGGTAAGGGTTGGGGAACCTACAGGGCAATCCAAGAATCCTGACATGAAGACTGGACAACTGGTCAGCTACACTGGTTAGAATTATGGAGGGGACCCCCAAGAGGCCCCCAGAGACCCATGATGGGACACATACCAGGTCCCTGTAAGTATAACTCAGTTCTGTTCCAACCTCACCCCAGACAAATCTGCACTGAGCTTTCTTAGTTTTCTCTGGGGAATACAGTCACCCAAGTCCATGTATTTCACCCCAAGGGATGAAGACAACCCCAAGGGCTGTGACAGTCACAAAGTTTGAGACACACCACTCACCATGTCCTTAGAAACCCTCAAGGAGATGCTTACGTGGCTACATAAACCACCCATGAGCCCCCTTAAGGCCTAACCAATGGGGTGCTTTCAGAGGATTAGGGGGCCCCAACTGGCTGGAGGGGATGGCAGCATGGTGACTCCCTGCAGAACTTGCCTGACTCCGTGGATATTCTTAATGGCATAGCTGATCTCTCGGCGTAAATCTTTCTCATCAAACTCCATCTGCAAAGAGATAAGCCAAATACATGGGATGGGGTGCTGTGGATACCCCACAGCAGGTCCAGATTCTGGGAAAGTTTGTTCCTATTCATGGTTCTAATTCAAAAAAGAATATTTAACAAGTTCAAATTAAAAGAAAACAACTGAGGAACAGTGAGGAGATGGCTTAGCCGGTAAAGTGCTTGTCTTCAGTTCTAGCCCCAGAACCGATGTAAAAAAGTTGGAGATTCAGTCAGTTGCTGCCAAGTCTGACAACCTGAGCTCAATACCTAGGACTTATATGGAGGAAGGAGAGAGCCAACTCCCACAAGTTTTCCTCTGACATTCACATACACCCCCACATACTAAATAAAGACAATGCCAAAAAAAAAAAAAAAATACACTTAAAAAAAAAAAAAAAAAAAGCTGGGTGTGGTGGTATTTGTGTGGAGAGTTGGGAGGGAGGAAACAAGAAGATCCCTTGGGCTCCCTGGCCAATAAGCCTAGCCTACTAGGTGAGTTCCAGGTCAGTGAGAGATCCTGTCTCCAAAAATAATAAGGTGGGGGGCTGGAGATGGCTCGGCGGTTAAGAGCACTGACTGCTCTTACAGAGGACTGGGGTTTGATTCCCAGCACCCACATGGAGGCTAAGAACATTCCTTAACTCCAGTTCCAGGGGAATCCAAAGCCCTCTTCTGACCTCTGCAGCATTGCATGACACAGGTGCACTCACATACATGCAGGCAATACACTCATATGCATAAAATAAAAATAAGAAATAAAATATTAAAAAAAAAAGTGGGAGTGGGGCTACAGTTCAGTTTGGTAGAACATCTGCCTAGCATAGATAGAGCACTGCAATCCATCCTCAGCACAGAATAAACTGGGCATGGGTATTGCCTGTAATCCTAGCACTATAGAGGTAGAGACAGGAGGATAGGAGTTTGAAGCCAGGCTGGGCCACTGGAGACCTTTTTTTTAAAAAAATTTATTAAAGCACAGCACAGGTGCACTTACACACATGCAGGCATATTACTCATACACATAAAACTTTAAAAAAAAATTTTAAAAAAAGGTGAATGGGACATGAAGAATGACAATGGAGGCTGTCCTTTGGTCTCCACCTAACACACACATCCAGAGGCACACTTGTGCAGCCCGTGCACATACACACACAGAGGAAAAGATTCGAAGCTGGGAATATTGATGCACACTCCTAATCCTAGCACTTAGAAGACATCCTTAGAAGGATGTTTGCTGCAAGTCTGAGGCAGCTTGGGCTGCATAGCAAATACCAGACTAGCCAGGGCTACAGAGCAAGATCCTGTCTCCAAAAACAAAAAAACAAAAAAGAAAGAAAAAGATCAAAATTAGAGCCTAATATGAGCAGAGGTGAAATTGACAGTACCTGAGTGCTGGGACTAAAGGAATGTACCACCACGCCCAGCCATCCAAAACTTCTAACACACTAGAATCCTGAGGAACTAACAAGGATCTAGTTCTGTGCACAGAAATGAGCATAACTATTCAAAAGTGTGAATAAGAGATCCAAAAAGAGGACGTTGATTGAATGCTGGACAGAATGCTCCTAAAATGAGGTGTTTTCACAGTGCACTAGGTGGCATGAGCCTACTATCTTAGCACAGAAGGCTGAGGCAGAAATACCTGGAATTTAAGCCCCAGTAAGAAAGATGCTGTCACAAAACAGCAAGAGAAAAGGGGGAGGGGGAGAACCCACTGGCAGACTGCATGGCTAGCATGCACAAAGCCCTGGGTTCCATCCACAGCATGTGCACAGATACACACACATACCTACTGATTTTTTGACTAGCTTTAAAAAGTTAGTTCAAGTCTCCAGGGTGCTAGGATTACTGGTATGCGCCACTATGGCCAACCAATGAACTATACAGCCCCAGCTGGTCTGGAACTCACAACATGACCAGGGTGGCGTTGATCTCACAGAGATCCAGCTGCCTCTGCCTCCTAAGTACCTAGACTAAAGTTGTGCACTGCCTGTCCATTTCTTAATTTTTAAAATCGAGACAGGATCTCACTATGTAGCCCTGGCCTGGAATTTGCTATGTAGCCTAGACTGACCTTGAACTCAGAGATCCACTTGCCTCTATCTTCCAAGTGAAGGGATTAAAGGTACGTACCACCACACTTGGCCCATGTATCATATCATTTTTTATCATTATATTTTATTTACTCTATGTGTGTTTATACATACATATGTTACGGAGGTCAGAGGACAACCTACTGAAGTTGTTTCTCTCCTTCTACCATGTGGGTTCCAGGGATCAAACTCAGGTCGACAGGCTAGGCAGCAAGCACCTCTACCTGCTGAGCTATGTCATCAGCCCTCATGTAGCATCTGTCTTACAAAATTTTTATTTATTTATTTATTTATTTATTTATTTATTTATTTATTTATTTGTTTGTTTGTTTATTTTATTCATTCATTCATTCATTTAATGTGCTCTTAATCACTGAGTCATCATCTCTCTAGCCCATGTATCATCTTTTCTGTCAGTGGAAGAAAACGGAACTTTCATATAGTTCTGCCCAAAGCTTTTAAGCTGTGTGATGCAGGAAGGAAGACCACACATGGGGCCACCTTCTCCAGACTATACACTGGTAACAGCATCCTCCATCTAAGAGCTTGAGCCCTGTGGCTGAGAAAGGGGCCAGGTTTGAGGTCAAGGACCCAGGTCCAACAAAAGTGTGTTAGTCTACAGTCAGAGACTGGGGAGTCCATACCTTCACTAGCTCAAAGGGAAAGCGCTCATGAAAGATGCGATTGATCCTGGCACCCCCAGACAGTTCCAGTGTGTCCACTTGGTCTCCAGAGCCCTCAATTCGTTTCTCAAAGTCCACTCCAAATTGTTGGACCATCCTTCAAAGAAAAAGAAAGCACAGTCAGAGTAGAAGCTTCTAGACAGCCCTGGAATTATGTTGTGAGTCAAGAAAAGGAAACTTTGCTCTTCTGTTTCTTTCTTTTTTTTAAATTTATTTTTTATTTGATTATTTTTATTTTATGTGTATGTGTGTTCTGTCTGCATGTAAGTGCACCACTTTATTGTCCTGCAATGCCTGTAAAGGCAAGAAAAGGGCATTGGATTCACTGGAACTGGAGTTCAGATGGTTGTTGCTGTGTGGGTCCTCTGTAAGAGCAGCCACCCTTAACCACTGAGCCATCTCTCCAATCCCCCAAATTTTGCTGTTTAAAAAAAAATTCTTGGCCGGGTGTGGTGGTGCACCCCTTTAATCCCAGCACTTGGGAGGCAGAGGCAGGCGGATCTCTGTGAGTTCAAGGCCAGCCTAGTCTACATAGCGAGTTCCAGGACAGCTGGGGCTACAGGGAGACCCTGTCTCAAAAGGACAAAAAAAAAAAAAAATCTCAGCTGGGCATGGTGGCACACACCTTTAATCCCAGTACTTGGGAGGCAGAGACAGGAGGAGCGCTGTAAGATCAAGGCTAGCCTGGTCTACACAGCAAGTTCCAGATTAGCTGGGATTACATAGAAATCTTGTCTCAAAAAAAAAAAAAAACTTAGTGCATGTGTGAGTGTGTGTGCGCGCACACATGTGGAGATCAGAGGACACCTTTTTGGGAGTTGGTTCTCTCCTTCCATCATATAGGTCTCGGGGAATTGAACTCCAGCCACCAGGCTTGGTGGCAAGCTCCTTTACCCACTGAGCCTGCCCCACAGCTAATTTTTCTTGTCTTTTATGTTATTTTTTTGAGACAGAGTCTTGCTCTATAGCCTATAGCTGAGGTAGGCCTTCAACTCCAGAGCCTTCTGCCTCAGCCTCCAGAGTGTTGGCAGTACAGGTATATGTACTCTATTACATATGGCATATAATACACAAAGCTACTTTGGGAAGCCTTCAAAGCCTGCTACGATGATTCACCTAAACACCCTGAGGAGACTGTTATCACCAAGTTTTCAGATTAATGTCCCAGTCAATGCAAACTCTCTCCAAGGCTTGAGTTAATCTGCTGCATGGCTGAGATTTAAGACAGCCCCTCCACATAATCCAGGGGCTGTCTGTGGCTTTCCACTACCTCCCCACCCCGTCATGTGGGTCTGCACCACTGATTGGCTTCATAGGTAGGTGACAATCTCATTTTTTCTTATCATCTTTCCTGACTACCCTGGGAAGGATGGTCATCTGACCTTTTGGGTACATAGACCTGGGGAGCCTAGCCCAGGCTGGCTCATAGAAAGCTCTGGGCACATGCTTGTGTGCATGAATGCATGTAGGCACAGGCAGTGGGGAGGAAGGAACATGTACTGCAACAGGGCTTTGGTCTTGCGTGTAGGGTCATCGGGCCGGAAGTTCTTGTACTCCTCTACTTCCTTCTCCAAGGACAGTAGCTGGCTCTGCAGCTTGCTTCGCAGGGTTGGCAGGGACTCTCGGATGTGGTTGGTCAGTTGCTGTAGGGGAGAGGGTGGAGAGATCAGTCAGGGAATGGAGGACTGATTTGCTTCTTCTCCCCTACACCCCAGCAAACCCAAGATACTGCAGATGGAGACGGAGCCAGGCCAAGAGAGGCCACATAGCTGCTTGCAGGGACCTTGTAGTGAGGCATCCATGCTGGTTCAGGACAATATGAAACAGGCACCCCTTGGTGTGGGGCCCCAAAACTACATGGGCCCCATCAGCTGCAGGGGTGAAGCTGGATGGCATCCTGGGGCTATGGGTGGCCGAACCCAAGCACAGACCCAGGATGGCTCTATGTACTAAAATATAGCAGTGTCCCCAGGCAGTATGAGAGGCACAGCTGCAGGTAGGTGGATGGGAGAGGTGAGGACAGAGCAAGGGCACCAGTAGATTCATAGAGGAAAAAAAAGACTGTGAAGAATCCAACACAAGGAGAGGTGAGCTGTGGGCCTAATGGTGGCCAAATCCTGCTGAACAGGGGTCCTTGTCTGGTGCTGCAAACCTTGGTCCCTGTCAGTAGAAGCTGTGCGTCCCACAGGCAGCAGGACTCTATCTTTACAGCTCTATGAACCTTTTACAAATTTCTATTTGCTTATTTTTGAGTGAGTATACAGGGAGGGGGGATGTCCAGGGTGGGAGGGAGTGCGAGTGCTAAGTGTGCATGTAGAGGTCAGATGGGAACTTTGTGGGGTCAGGGTTATTGTTTGACCCTTCCATGGGTTCTGGGGAGTGACATCAACTCATCATGTCTGAGTGGCAAGCACCTTTACCTGCTGAGCCATCTTGCCAGCCCAGCACCCAAGACCACTGAACTCAGCCCAAATTGAAGGGGGCCAGGTGGGTTGTACAGCTGGAGCTTCAGGAGGGTTTTATTTCCTTCCTGTCCCTCCTCAATCTGTCCGGCTGACAATCCCTTTCCCAGGACATTTACTCCCAATTCTGAACACTGCGGCACTTGCTCTGGAAGATGCCTGGAGTTTCAACTTGCTAGGACCCTAGACAAAACTAATACCTGACTAGGGATTTATCTGATGGCTCATTTACTGGTCATGCTCCAGTTATTAGACCCCTTTGTGAGGACAGAGTCTGGCTCTTACACACAGTACCTCTGGGTTTCTAGTCTATGAATAACATACTGATGTTGCTGCTGTTTCTTTTTCTTTCTTTTTTTTTTTTTTGGCCCCAGCTGGCCTGGAACTCACTATGTAGACCAGGCTGAACTCACGGAGATCCACCTGCTGGGATTAAAGGCATGTGTTACCATGCCAGGTACTGCTGTTTTATTCAGAGAGGGTCTCATGTATCACAAGTTACACAGATGAGAATGACCTTGAACTTCTGATCTCTTTCATGCTGGGATTACCAGGTATGTGCTACCAGGCCTGGTTTGGTATATTCTAGGCAGGGGCTCTACCTCTGAGCCATACCCCTAGCCCCTCATTGGGGGATTCTAGGTTGTCACTCTACCAGCACCTCAATGGGGGATTCTAGGCTGGTGTTCTTCCCAAGCCTCATCCTGAGTCTGGAATTATCGATTTTTGCACTGTTTCATGCAAATAAGGCATCAGTGTGGCAATCACATGATACCATCTCCTTTCACACAACATATGCACTAGAGTGCACATGGCCTCACTGACTCCTACCCCACGTAGCAGAAACAGCAACCACTTTCCCTTGACAGACATGAGGAGGAAGGCCTGGAAACACTGGGCCAGTACCTCTTGCTCAGAGGGTGGGCAAGGCTTTGGACTCCTGAGGGTCAGACTGTAGCATTTTCCCATGTAGCTGCAGTCCAGTGCTGCCAGGCGCTGGCCTTGGTTTAGCCCTGGACACTTTACCCAGTGACCCACCCGTGGGACTGTCCGTAGAGCTCCAGGCATATGACTAAATGATTACAATAATTAAAATAAAAGCAATACTGACTGTTAAGATTCAAAACAGTCACAGTACCATCTTGCTAAATCTGCCATTCATCACCAGGCCTTGAGTTAAACACACTTACAGGAGTAACAAGTAGACAGGTGCCTTTCTGTTAACACACTGCTGCTCTAGACTGAGAATGACACACGTGTGGATCAATGTTGTGTAGTATGCAACCTGCCCCACTGGACAGGGCAGCCTCAGAGTTCTACTCTACCTGATTGAGGGTCTTCTGGAGGTGAGGGGTGCCCATGCGGTCCGCCATGTGCCGATAGGCCGGGTGGGAAAGGAAGAATTTCCTCTCAGCTGCCAGTGCTGCCCTGATGTCCTTTTTACCTTCAATGTCTTTCTGGCTGCGGTTGACCACACCAATATAACCTAGAGATACACAAACAGTTGGTGTAAGACTCAGGCCAAGAAGGTCAAAATATCAGGGCTGCCACTGTGGGCCTGGCTCGGACTGGGCCAGGTGGAGGTGTAGAGAACAACTGGCCTTGTGAGTCACTCATGCACGATGCCACAACAGTACTCAGAGTCAACTGACAATGTGGAATACCACTGAAGGCAGCAAGGGAAAGCAGCATGGAATTGGGGAGAGGGTGAGGTTGGACCAAGTGTGCAATGAAGGAGGGAAGAGGAAGCTTTCAGGTGTATGAGTGCTAGAAGCTGAGCTTCCAGGACAGGTGAGATGGCTAGAGGACAGCCCAGAGACTGTTAACATGTGCCAAGCCCTGTGTTCCATCCCCAGCACTATAAAATAAGAAAGAAGAGTGCTGGAGAGATGGTACAGTGGGTTAAGAGTGCTTCCTGCCTTTTTAGAGGACTCGAGTTCAATTCCCAACACTCATGTAGGGCAGCTCACAACTGCCTGTAACTCTGGGTCCAGGGAATCGGATACCTCTGACCTCTGCAGGCACCTGCACTCACATGCACATAGCCATACACAGATACACACACATGCACATAATTTAAAAATAAAAATAATTCTTAAAAAAAAAAAAAAAAAAGACAGAAGAAAAAACTATTTTCAAAAAACAACAAAGCCCTTAAGAAGCCAGGCATGGTAGTGTATGCCTTTAGTCGTAGCACTAGGGAAGGAGAGGCCAGGCTGGTCAGCATGAGTTAGTTCCAGGCTACAGAGGGACCTTGTCTCAAAAAGGAAAAAAAAGAGAAGATAGACAATATGTCATATTAAATCCACACAAGGAAGGCTGGCAAAATGGTTCAGCAGCCCAAGGGCTTCCTACTAAACCTCACAACATGAGTTCAAAACCCAGAACCCACAAGGTGAAAAGATAACTGACTCAAAGAAGCTGTCTTCTTACCTCCACACTCATGCTGTATCCACAAAGACATCAAGCATGAACTTTTAAAAGACATGCACACCCTCTTCTGGCCTCTGTGGGCATTGTGCACTTACATATATGCAGGCAAAACACTCATAACTCATACTTTTATTAAATAAAAATGTTTTAATGGACATAAAATAGTCTCAAAACCCAAAATTTAGTAAATAAGTACATGAACAAATCCCAGCACTGAGGCATGAGGATCCAGAGTTCAAATTCAGCCTGGAAATTAGAGGCTAGCCCAGGCTATAGGAGACCATGTCTTAAACTACAACATAAAACCAAACCAAACCATCACATACACAATAACAAGAAAAGATCAATAACAAAAAGACTGGGTACAGAGGGTGATGGGGGACAGGGCAAGGGTAGGCAGAAGTCATCTGCTACGACTGGTTTTCTCTAAGCTGAAAGAGTTCTAAGAGGGAAGAATTCTGAGGGAAGAGCTGCTTTTTTTTTGTTTGGGGTTTTCTTCTGTGATGCTGGGGCTGGAATCCAGGGTCCTGTGCGTGCTAGGTGTGTGCTCTGCCCACTGGCACACATGCCAGCCCCTCCTGTGGGAGATGGGAAGTGCACTCAAGACACATGGGGAGAAATGTAAGGAAGCCACCTGAGTGGAGAGGAAGAGAGAAGTGTCACTCTTGGGAAGCCGATGGTGGTGTGTGTGTGTGTGTGTGTGTGACTGCCATTAAGGAGGAACAGGTGAATCAGGCACTGGGTCAAATGGGTAGACTTTTAGTACAGCTATTGCCTGCAGCTATGGAGCCTCCTCAAGATCTAAGGGGACCCAGAGTGTGTGACAGAGCTCACATTTGGTGGAGGGGATGGGGTCAGAGAGGGCCTGGCTCCTCAATCTGTTTTTGAAAGAGTATTTTCTTTTTCTTTTTTTTTTTTTTTGGTTTTTTTGAGACAGGGTCTCCCTGTAGCCCCAGCTGTCCTGGAACTCACTATGTAGACCAGGCTGGCCTGAACTCACAGAGATCCGCCTGCCTCTGCCTCCCGAGTGCTGGGATTAAAGGCCTGTGCCACCACATTTGTTTGTTTGAGACAGGCTCTGGCATATAACTTGTTATATAGCCGAGGATGACTGTGTACCTCCTGTCTCTACTCCCCCAGGGGGGATTAAAAGTATGCCCTACCAAGTCTAGCTGCCTACTTGCTTCCTAATGCTCCAGAAGAAAGCAACTATAGTTCAGAATCTACTGTGTACATGAGAAGCAAAAAACACATGTGTGATGGTGCCAGACCTTACCTCTTCTCAAGGGCAGCAGTTTATTTTCTAGAACATCCCTGGCATCTGTGCCTTCATCCATCAGGTCCAGCTTGGTGATGACACCGATGGTTCGCAGGCCTGAAAGAGCCCACAGGTCAGAGGGGGCCCGCAAAGGAAAGTTTCCCCAGGGTAGCAGGACTGTGAACCTAGGGAGAGGCCACAATGTCACTTTGCCTGGACCCCTGTTTGCAGAGTGGCAAATGAGAGTCCCAGCCCCAATGAACCTGACATGTGGCAAATGCTGCCAGTAAATGCTGGCCACCACCACTGAGGCCATGCTTGTAAATGGCCATAGCAGGACCAGGAGATGACTGGAAAACCAGAACCAGCTCGAGTGAGTTTGGAGGCCATGTGGCTACCTTGCTCTTTGGCTGGTGTTCCAATTCCACATCATGCCTGAACCTGAAGCAACTGTTTTCAGCGCCACTTGTCACCTGGACCAGCTTCAGTCTAGGGACCACCCATCAAAGTTCTTTACCTCCATGTCTATTGCAATGAGACAGGGTTAGAGCAATGCTACACACCTTCAGGCTATTTGTCCTTCTCAGTCCCCTAATCCTTACAGCCGCACTTCACCTGAGCACATCAAGTCTGTAAGACGAGCTTCCAGGACAGGTCAGATGGCTAGGGGGTTAGCTCTGCAGGAACCGTCTTGCTTTAACGTGTATAAAATGCTGGGTTTCCTCCCAGCTGGTAGCATGTTTCGTGTAGCATGCAAAAAGCCTTGACTTCCAGGCTTGAGATGGTTTAGTGGTTAAGAACACTGGCTGCTCTTGCAGAGGATCCAGATTCAGTTCCCAGCACCCACATGGTGGCTAACAACCATCTGTAATTCCAGTTCCAGGGGATCCAATCCCCTCTTCTGCATCTGCAGACATCGCACAACATGGGTATACTTACATACATTCAGGTAAAATACTCATACATAATAATAAAAATAAATATTTAAAAAGAGGAAAAAAAAAACCCTTGGGGGTCCATCCTGACCATCCTAAACTTTAATTGAGTGTGGTGGCAGAAACCTGTGATCTCACAAGGGTGACACATTGAGGCCCCAACCCATCCTGAGGTGACTGCATTAGTTGCCACCACTGTATTAAGTAGACTTGGAGGGGTGCTGCAACTGTAAATACCCACAAAGCTGACACGGGAAGAGGCTGAACAAGGAAGAGAGACATGAGTGGGGAAAGGTCTGGGGGTAGATGAACTAAAATAGAAACAACTAATCTCACTGTCTATGAGACCAGTCACAGTAAGGATAACGGAGTGGGCAAATGAACAATGGGGCCAACCCATGCACAACACTGGCCTCCTGCAGAATAATGTTCACTATCTCTATAGTACAGTGTTAGGGGACTGGAAAGATGGCTTAGTGGTTAAGAACACTGGTTGTTCTTGCAGAAGACCCAGGTTCGAATCCCAGCACCCACATGGCAGTTGACAACTGTCTGTAACTCCAGTCCCAGGGGATCCAACAGCCTCTTTTGGCCTCCGTGGGCATTGCACGACACGGGAACACTTACCTACACATAGGTAATACACATATACATATTAAAAAAAAAAAAAAGTGTTGAATGGGGCTGGAGAGATGGCTCAGTGGTGCTGGCTGCTCTTGCAGAGGACCCAGGTTCAGTTCCCAGTACCCATTCATAACTCCAGTTCCAAGGCATCTGATGTCCTCTTTTGGCCTCTGTGGGGATTGCATGGGTAGGTGCACTTACAGGCAGTCAAAACACTCACACATAAAATAAAAAGAGGGTTGGATCAGGGACACCTTAACCCCAGCATTCAGGAGGCAGAGGCAGGAGGGTCATGTGAGTTTGAGGCCAACCTGGTTTACATAGTGAATTCCAGGCCAGCTGGGGCTATAGGGAGACTCTGTCTCAAAAGGAAAAAAAAAAAAAAAAAAGAGGGGAGGGTCGGGTGTTGCAGCTGACACCTGTAATCCCAGCACTTAGGAGGCAGAGGCAGCTGTATCTCCAATGTTGAAGCCAGCATGGTCTACACAGAGAGGTCCAAACCAGCCAAAGCTACATAATGAAACTGACTCAAAAACAAAAGCAAGAATAAAATAGGAGATCTCTGTGAGTTCAAGGCCAGCCTGGTCTACACAGTAAGTTCAGCTGAGGCTACAGTGAGACCCTGTCTCAAAAAGGAAAAAAAAAAAAAAAAAGAAAAGGGAATGTGTACGGCAATCAAAAAAAAACACAAAAATTGTCCTATTTTAGCTGGGTGTGGTGATGCACACTTCTAATCCAAGCACTATGGAGGCAGAGGCAGGCAGAACTGTGTGAGTTCCAGGCCAGCTGGGGCTACAGGGAGACCCTGTTTCAAAAAGACTAAGGAGTTCCAGACCAGCTGGGACTACAGGGAAACCCTATCTGAAAAAGAAAATAAATAAATAAATAAATAAATAAATAAAAAAATAAATAAATAAATAAAATTTACATGTAAGCATAACTTTGAAAGGAAGTACAGCCAGGATATCAATATGGAGGAGGGGTTTTAGGGGTCTTGATTTTTCCATGATGACTTCTTTTTTGCAATAACCATGAGTACTTTCAAAAAAAAAAAGAAAAGAAAAGAAAAAGAAGTGGCTAAGGTGGCCTCTCTTAGAGAGCCAGTCCTATCAGGTCAGGTCCAGGGAGAACGCCTTACTCTTCAATTGCACCCCAAGGGGTCACCCGCCATCACCACACAGGGAATGCTGAGTGTCAGGAGGCCTCTTCCTAACATTTCTATTCCAGAGAGCAGAGCAGGGACAGGACCCAGCACTGACAGAGGGTACTGCTGCCCCAGGGCTTAGGGGTCACCTTGGGGGTCCACTTCCTTGGCCAGCTTGAGGGCATCTGAGTTGGCCAAGTCCATGTTGGCAGGTGTGACAGCAAGGATAAGGCTGCTTTCTCGGCTGATGAACTGCAGGATCATGTCTTTGATCTGGTACTCAATATCTGGTGGCTGGTCTCCCACTGGAACCTTGGTGATGCCCGGGAGGTCAATGAGGGTCAGGTTCAACACTGGGAGGATAATCAGAGGGAATGGCATCAAGAAAAGCCCAGGAAAGGGAAGGCGAACTACTATCCCTGGCCTATATAGTCCCAGTCCATGTCACCAAGTTCCCAGATGGGTCTCATCTCAGGACAGCTCCTGACATTCCTATTGGATCATATTTGCCAGAGGTCATGCTTGGTGTCATCCTTAATGGATCACTACCTTATTTATTATTTAGAATCTTTTTATGACATTTTATTTATTTATAGGTATGTGTAGAGGCATGAGTGTACCAAAAGCATACATGTGAAGATCAGAGATCTTCCAGGAGTCAGTTGTCTCCTTCCACCATGTGGGTCTCAGGGATCAAACTAGGTCTTCAGGCTTGGAGGCAAGCACTTTTCCTGCTGGGCCATCTGACCAATGAACGCCAGGGGCCCATCTGTCTCTGCCTCCCCAGTGCTGAGATTTAGGGTGCACACTGCCACACTGGGCTTTTTACATTACTGTGGAGAGAATTCAGGTCCTCACACTTGGGGAGCAAGCCTTTCACCCACTCTGCCATTTCCCCAGCTTCCATACTTTTTAAGGTTTGTTGTTTGTTTTAACTTTTATTTATTTTTATTTTATGTGTACAAGTGTTTTTCCTGCATACAGGTAAGTGTAGCTATGTTGTGCAGTGACTGTTGAAAGAAGGCATCATAGCTCCTGGAACTGGAGTTATAGATGGTTGTGAACAACCAGTGTTCTTAACTGCTGAGACAAGATCTATCCAGCCTTGTTTGATTTTTTGAGATAGGGTATGGGCACGTAGCCCAGGTTGACCTAGAACTCACCATGTACCTCAGGCTATAGGGCTGGGACAGGAGCTCAGTTAGCAGAGTGCTTGACTAGCATGCACAAAACCCCAAGTTCCACCCCTAACACCATATAAACAAGGTGTGGTTGCACATATCTATAATATCAACATTCTAGAAGAGGACAGAGGATTAGGAGAGTTTGAGTACAGCCTAGACTTGACACATTGTTTCAGAAGGAAGGGAGGGAGGGAGGAGAAATGGGGGGGAGGAAGATGTAGTGGTGTACCTCTTTAATCTCAGCACTCAGAAGGCAGAGGTAGGCAGATCTCTGTGAGTTGAGGCCAGCCTGGTCTACATAGCGAATTCCAGGCTAGCCAAGGACTACAAAATGAGACCCTGTCTCAAAAAGAAAGGAAGGGAGGGAGGGAGGGAGGGAGGGAAGGTAAAAGTAATAGGGGCTGGTGAGGTGGCTCAGTGGGTAAAGGTGCCTATCACCAAGCCTGACGACCTGAGTTCTAGCCCTAGCACCTACATGGCAGAGGGAAAAACCAAATCAAGTACATTGTCCTCTGATCTCAACATGTGCACTGTGATATGTGTACCCACTATACATAAAATAAACAAGGTGGGGCTGGAGAGCTGGCTCAGTGGTTAAGAGCACTGGTAGCTTTGGCAGAAGACCCAGGTTTGGTTCCCAGCACCCACATCATAGCTAACAACCATCCCTAACTCCAGTTCCAGGGGTATCTGATGCCCTCTTCTGACCTCCATGGGCATTGCATGACACCAGTACACTTACATACATGTAGGCAATACACTCATACACATAAAATAAAAATAGTAAAATATTTAAAAAATAAATACATAAATGTAGCTCAGGCTAGCCTTAAGCTCACAATCTCCTGCCTTAGTCTACTGAGTGCTGGAATTTCAGGTGTGCACCATGGAACTCTTTTTTACTTTAAACATGATACTAGGGATCGGACTCAAGAGCTTCATGCATACTAGGCAAGTACCCTAAGACTGTGAACCACAGTCTACCTCTATTTTTTCTTCTTCTTTTGAGACAAGGTCTTATATAGCACAGGCTTCCCTAGACACTGTGATCCTTTTTCCTCAGTCTTCTCAGTGTCGGTAGGCTACCACACCCAGCTCTCATTTACCAGTCTCGACAGGCTTCTTAGTCCATGTTTTTCTCAGAGGCTGGTAAGTGGGAGGACCCTACTGGACAGGAGAGGGTATCAGCTTCCCTCAGCCTCCACATGACAGGTCCCCATTTCCAAAGCCTACCGTGTGGTGAGTACACCCGAAGGTTGATGGGCACCGGGGAGATGCCTTTGTTGGTCCCCGTAACCCGGTCGGTCTCTGCTTCGATCTCCTGCCGGACTTCATCAAAGTCTGTAAACTTTTTGGACTTACAGTGCAAAAACTCCGCATATTCTGAAACAGGAAGAGAGATGCTCAAGGTGAGAAAGAGGGGTGACATCCTTGGGGAGGGCACAGGAATTTTGGGAAGATGTTCATTCTTTTTTACTGTTTGTGTGTACATATGCATGTGGAGATGCACAGGGATATGTGTATACCATGCCCATGTGTGCACGCCAGAGATCAACCTTGGCTGTCATTCCTTTAATGCTTTCTACCATAAGGGTTTTTCGTTTTGGTCTATTTGAGACAGGGTCTCCCTGGAGCCCAGCTGTCCTGAAACTCACTATGTAGACCAGGCTGGCCTTGAACTCACATAGATCTGCCTGCCTCTGCCTCCTGAGTGCTGGGATTAAAGGCATAGTTTTTTAGACAGGTACTTATTTTGTAGACCAGGCTGGACTCCACTTGAGACCCACCTGCCTCTGTATCTGCCTCCAGAAAGAGCCTAGGATGAAAGGTATAGGTCACCATACTTAGGTTTTCATTGGGTTTAAAAAAGTTTTATACTTATTTATTTTTATTTTATGTGTATGAGTATTATGCCTGCATGTGTATAAGTGCACCTGTGTCATGCAGTGCCCACACAGGACAGAAGAGGGTGTTGGATCCCCTAGAATTGGAGTTACAGATGGTTGTTAGTAGCTATGTTAGTGTTGGGATTCCAACCTGGGTCTTCTACAAGAATGGCCAGTGCTCTTTTTTGAAACCTGAGATACTATTGCCTCAGTCTCCTAGGCCAGGGAGGAAGAGGAGCTGACCCTCAAAGTCTCAGAGACCACAGTCCTACAGTGGGGCTGCAGCCTTAGGGAAGTGAGACTCCTGGCAAAGAGGCTCAGAGCTCAGTATACTATATAGAGCTTCTCAGAGTGAAAGATGAAATAATCTCACCATCCATCAAGAGGAGACCTGGCCACAGACATCACACACATAATAGGCTGTCTCATGGGAAAGGACTCAGAGGGGCCTCTGGGATGTGCAAGGCCTGGTAGGTGGAGGAGGAAGCATGCAAGAAGTGACCAGCTCCAAGGGTCAGAAACAGGAGGAGGCTCGGGGCTTGCTGGCTTCTAACCTAGCTGATATATCAGACCAGGTTCAGAGAGAGACCCTGCTTCAAAAGGATAGGTGGAGGACAATGAAAGGGAAGTCCTGACAGCCTCTTCTAGCCTCTCTGTGTGTACACAGGCACACAGCTGTATACACATGTGCACAGATGCATAAAATAAATTTTTTTTTGGTCTTTTTGAGACAGGGTCTCCTTGTAGCCCCAGCTAGCCTGGAACTCACTCTGTAGACCAGGCTGGCCTTGAACTCACAGAGATCCGCCTGCCTCTGCCTCCCAAGTGCTGGGACTACAGGCTTGTGCCACCAATAAAATAAATTTTTTAAAAACTGAGCACAAGGGGCTAGAGAGATGGCTCAGCAATAACATTACTGTTCTTGCAGAAGACTTAGGTTTAAATTCCAGCACCCACATGGCAGCTAACAACTGTCTGTAACTGCAGTTCCAGGGGATCCAACAGCCTCTTCTGTCCTCCGAGGGCATTGCATGATATGGGTGCACTTACCTACATGCAGGCAGTACACTCATACACATAAAATATTAAAAACAACCAAAACCTGAGCACAAGCAGGTACACAACCCAGCATCACAATCCCAAGACATGCCTAACATTCATCCCTCACTCCTGGCCGGTCCCTGTGTGAAGTCCCATACTCTCCTTCCCAGTCCCTGGTCCCTGAAGCCCATTTCACAGATGAGGATGTGAGGCCCACAGAGGACACAGGACTTGACCCCACTCAGTGGTGGAACTGGAACTCAGTAGCTTAGCTGGGGTGGTGGCTCTCAAACCCATGACTTTGGTGGAGTCACGTCTTTATCTGGTATGAGTGATGGGTACCTGGGAGCAGGGCTCAGGGATCAGGATCCCCTCCTCCACCTCACTATCAGTTGACCCACTTCCCAACTCAACTGCTCTTCCTGTAGCAACTACTAAAAATGGAACAGTCACCCAGGCACCCCACCCCCACCCCAGTCTAGGTCCTCTCTCTGGGAGGGAGTGTGGGATGCAAGCAGTGCAAGGCCTCAGGGCCAGGGCAGGACCTGCTCTGGTTCTTCCCTTTCTTTACCTCCTTCACTTCTCCCTCCCCTGCAGGGCCTTCCTATCACCATCTTGCCCTCCCTCACGATCTGTGTAATGTTTAGGGGCTGGATCCTGTTGACATCAGCAGTACCCAAGGATCTAGTCTTGGCTAGCAACTGTTAGCTTAGTCTGTCCTGGAGGGTCCACCCAGGCTGATCAGTCAAACACAAATTCCTAGGGAGCTATGTGAGGCCAGAAAGAGTGGCAGCTGCATACCTTGAGCTTGGCAGGGTGGCACACACTGGCAGGCCCAGTAGTTGGTAGGCAAAGGCAGGATGATAATAAATTAAAAGACTACTCTGGGATACATAGAGAGACCCTGTTTCAAAAAGGTACCTCTCAAGGCTGGAGAGACATACCTCTGTCAATAAAGAAAGCATGAAAACCCACATTCAACCCTCAGAACCAACATTAAAAAGACAGTCAGTGAGGGACCGGTGAGCTGGCTGGGTGGTTAAAAGCACTGGCTGCTCTTGCAGAAGACCCAGGTTAGGTTTCTAGCACCCACACAGTGGCTAAAAATTGTCTATAACTCCAGCTCCAAGGAATCTTGACGCCCTCTTCTGGCCTCCACTGGCACTGATTGACACAGGTGTACTTACATACATGTAAACATAAATAAAAATGAATCCCAAAAAGCTTTAAAAACAAAAGAAAAAACAAGTGTGGTGGTACATACTTGTAACCCCAGTGCTCACTGGTCAGCCAGCCTAGCCTAACTAATATGCTAGTTTCAAGTTAGTCAGAGACACTATCTCAATTAAAAAGAAAACCAAACCACCTGTTGGTGTACAGGCTCCAATGTTAACATGATGGTTTCACTAGCCATCCACTGGGTTGAGGGGTATACCAGATGCCTTAAGGCTGAGTAGCCTTTAGGTTTGTCCCCAGCAGCCTATGCCAAGCCATCAAGCCTCTGCCAGTTCTGCCCATCCTAGACAAAACCAGTTCCTCTGGTCCCTGGGCCCACACTGCAGCATTCTGACAGCCACACACCCACAGGCAACAGTGGATTTTCCTCAACTCCCTGGGTACTCTCATCCATACAGGTTCCCTCCAGGGGGCGCTCTCTCAGCTGGCTCCACTGTCCCCAGCCCAGGGTTTGCAGGGATAAAGGAAGAATTTAAGCAGGGCCCTGGTCCAGCAGCCATGCAGCTAACCATGAAGGGACAGCCCGCCTCACCTGCCAGTTTCCTAAGTGGAACCTCACTGTATGTGGAAGGGACTCACTTGGGAAGGGGGTTCTATAGCACTTCTGCATGAACAGACACAGGAGCTGTGAGCAGGGATTTGATCTGGCCCCTAGAAGCTGCTTTTCTTTTTTTTTTCTCTGTAGCCCCAGCTGTCCTAGAACTCACTATGTAGACTAGGCTGGCCTTGAACTCAGAGTTCCACCTGCCTCTGCCTCCCAAGAGCTGGGATTAAAGGCGTGCATACCATGCCTGGTTAGAAGTTGCTTCTTAAACAAGTATGGAAGTGGTGGGGCTTAGTGGCTAGAGTGCTTACCTAGCATACATGGAGCAATGGGTTCCATCCCCAATACCACATAACAGAGCTCGCTGGTGTATATCCCAGATAGTCCCAGACTACAGGAGGACCAAGACTTCAAGATCATCCTCAGCTACATAGCCAGTTCAGGCCGCCTGGGCTACATCAAGACTGTCTGTCTGTCTGTCCGTCCATCCATCCATCCAATCTGTCTGACTGTCCATCCATCCACCCATCCATCCATCCATCCATCCATCCACCCACCCATCCATCCATCCATCCATCCATCCACCCACCCATCCATCCATCCATCCATCCATCCAATCTATCTAATCTGCCTATCTATCTATCATCTATCTCTCTCTCTATCTATCTATCATCTATCTATCTATCTATCTATCTATCTATCTATCTATCTATCATCAATCATCTATCTATCATCTACCTATTTATTGAGACAGGGTCTCCCTGTAGCCCCAGCTGGCTTGGAACTCACTATGTAGACCAGGCTATCCTTTAACTCACAGAGATCCACCTGCCTCTACCTCCCAAGTGCTGGGACTACAGGCGTGCGCCACCACACCAGGCTACATAAGACTGTTATAAGGAGGAGACCACAACCAACTCTGATGTCAGTCTAAGGGGAACCCAGCCTTGAAGGCATCAGCATTTCACACAGAGCCAGTAGGTGTCTCCCATTACCTCCAGTCTAGCAAAGAGTAAAGCCATTGGGCTGAGTCCTGATTCTGGGACCATGAGGTCTGCCTTCTCTAAAGTTGGCAGTATCATACATACCCAGGCAAGAATGGCTGGAGGGGCCTGGAGAGATGGCTCAGCAGTTAAGAGCACTGGCTGCTCTTGCAGAGGACCCAGGTTCAGTTCCCAGCACATACAAGGCAACTTACCACCATCCATAACTCCAGTTCCAGGGGATCTGATGCCCTATTCTGACCTCCTCAGCATTGCATACATATGATGTACTTACATACATTCAGGCATAACACTCATATACATAAAAATAAATAAATAATTTAAAAAAAAAAAAAAGAATGGCTGGAATCACACTTGGGAGACCCTGAGTACCCAGACAGAATCTATCCACCAGGTATAGTAGCTTAAGCCTGCAATTCCAGCTCTCAAGATGCTGAGGTAGGAGGAAATGTAATGAATTCAACACTAGCCTGGATCAGTTTCCAGCATGCATAAGGCAGCTCACAACCATCTGTAACTTCAGTTCCAGGGGATGTGATGCCCACTTCTGGCTTCCCCAGGCATGAAGCATACATATGGTACACTTATGTACATGCAAGCAAAACATTTATACACACAAATTCCACAGCATTTATGTACCCAGGGCTTTTCAGAACCTTTAGTGGACCAAGACAGGGGTACACAAAGCATATTCTGACCCTGTTTGACCTCAGGCTCCCTGAGAGTTGAGACAAGTGGGGTCTGTCTCCCTGTATGTCATACTGTTACTAGGACCATGACAGTACAAGCTGGAATCCTAACTAGCCCCTAGTCTGAGCCATACCTGTTCCAGACTCAGTTTTCTCTCAGACGTAGAAGTACCCCAAAGCCTAGCTTGCTTTGTCTGCCTACCCAGGCCCTAGACATCTATCATCCCAATACAGATAAAGACTAACAGGTTCAGAGGACAGCCTGCCATAGCCACACAGCCTGGGAAAGCAAAGTCCTGGGTAAGAGAAAAAATTAGGTGGCTGATAAACCCACCTAATTTCCAGTCCTTAGCCTGAGCAGAGGGAGCACTGAGGGGAGAGTACCAGGCCCCAAGCTGGGTGCTAGGTGAGGACAAAGGGTCAAGCACTTCAGCATCCCCGCATTAGGGTGCCCACCCGCTGTTCCATTGGGAAAAAGACCATAAGATAACACAGGTTCACATCCTGGTACAGTACACCTGTTGTCCCCAGGATATGAGAAGTAGAGGCAGGAGGATTAGGAGTTCAAGGTCAGTCTTGGATATATATATAGTGAATTCAAGTACAGCCTGGGCTACATGAGACTTTGTCTAAAGACTAAACTAAACTCCACTTAAGAACAGTACAGTGTCAGATAACATGTGAATGAGGACCTGGGTGACCTGGGTGTGGGGTAGGGGTAGCAGCCCTGTGCAGGAAAGAGACTGGCCAGCCTGATCCCTACAGACACAGTGAGCATTAAGGACCAGAGGTGAGGACAAAGGTATCTAAGGGGCGGCAGGAAGATTATGGCTGCTTCTGAGGACCAGGATTACCTAAGCTGTAGCAGGGACTGGTCAAGACCATGTTCTGATATCAGGCTCAGTGACCACAGACCAAGGTCAAGGTGAAGGCTGGGGGTGAAGGTACCTGGCAACCCCTGGATCCAACTTCTACAGAGAAAATCCCCACACACAGGGTTTAGTAGCATGATTCTGGGTGAAGGCAGGGTTCACCCATGGATCACTAGGCTTACTGATGGCTGCAGACTTAGGTAATTTTTAAACAAAACCTGCTAGAAGTCATGGCTCAGCAGACCAGCCTGAACAAGAAGGCACGTGACCCCCTGGTGTCTAAACAGCTAAGGGGAGGACCTAACCTGGCCTCAGGGCTACGCCTTATCTCAGATGTGAGGAGACACAGGCTTCCAGTTGAAGAAACTCAGGCATGGAAGGAAATCTGCCTCTCCTGGTCCTTGGCTTTGTAGCTTGGGTCCCAAGATTCCATGTCAAGAACCTGTCATCTCTAGGGCTATCTGTCCCTCCGTGGTCTCTCATCCTCCACTCCCAGCTCCACATACACTACTGCACTGGCCTAGAATATTCTCCCAGGGTCCCTGGTCCCCAAATACATTGGAAGCCTGACACATTCGCCTATAAGCCTTGCTCTGTCCCCTCAGCCAGCTAAACGCCATGAATGCATGTTCACTACATCTACAGGGCCAGGGTTGGAGGGCCATAGGAGGTGACACATCTTGGTGGAGGCCATAGGAGCATGACACATCTTGGTGGAGACATACAGGCTATTTCCCCAGGGTCCCATGAAGATCCTGGATAGTATGGGCACCTGCATGGAGCAGGGACATAGGCAACGCCACCATCAGAGGACCTGGCATGGAAAGCTGGGAGGTCAGCTAGGACCCAGATTCCTCTTCCCCTACATGTCAGTCAATAAACAGACTTTAAAAAAATTAATTAAGAGCCAGGCTTGGTGGCACATGCCTTTAATCCCAGCCCTCCAAAGGCAGAGGCAGGTGGCTCACTGTAAGATCAAAGCCAGCCTGGTCTACATAGAGAGTTCTGGGCCAGCTGGGGCTATAGAAAGACCCTGTCTCAAAAAAAAAGACCAAAAACAAAACAAAAACCAAAAAAAAAAATTAATTAAGGGGGCTGGAGATTGCTCAGCAGTTAAAGCACTGGCTGCTCTTGCAGAGGACCTGGGTTCAGTTCCCAGGATCCACATGGCAGCTAACAACCTTCTGTAACTACAGTTCCAGGTCATATGATGCACTCTTCTGGCCTCAGGGGGCACTGTACTCACATGCACACACACATACCCACAGATAAGACAGAATAAACACAAACAATAAGAAGAAATTAATTAAAACAAATAATTGAAATTGTAGTAGAGTAGAACATGGTGGCTCACAAGTCTCATAGTTACAGACAAACAAACTGTAGATCAACTTAGCATTACTCAAACAGGGTTACCTGTGTGCCAGGCACAGTCTTGGAAGAGCTGGTCTTCTCAAATTATCTTCATCTGCAGGAAACCTAGTGGCCCTGTCCAGGGCATCCCCTCAGGAAGGAGAACCCGGGCAAGCTTGGCTCTGCCCAACCCACCCAGCCAGGGTTGCCATGGGCCACCAGCAGGAGCAACAACAGTGCCACTTGGGAACTCATGAAAAAATGCAAATGCAAAGTATGGCCTGCCTACAACTGACTATAAGAAAGCACAGAGCAGTGCCAGGCTGAGTCCTTAAAGTGATGAGAACTGTGGGGCTGGAGAGCTGGCTCAGTGCTTAAGAGCACTGGCTGCTCTTGCAGAGGACCTGGGTTCAGTTCCCAGCACCCACATGGCAGCTAACAACCATCTGCAATGCCAGTTCCAGGGGATCTGATGCCATCTTCTGGCCTCTGAGGGCACTGAATGCATATCGTTCACCCACATACACAAAGGACAATAAATACAAATTAAAAAATAAAAAAATAGCCAGGCGTGGTAGCACACGCCTGTAGTCCCAGCACTCAGGAGGCAGAGGCAGGCGGATCTCTGTGAGTTCAAGGCCAGCCTGGTCTACATAGTGAGTTCCAGGACAGCTGGGGCTTACAGGGAGACCCTGCTTCAAAAAGACCAAAAAATAAATAAATAAATAAATTAATTAATTAATTAATTAATTAAAAAAAAAAGCCGGGCACGGTGGCGCACGCCTTTAATCCCAGCACTTGGGAGGCAGAGGCAGGCAGATCTCTGTGAGTTCAAGGCCAGCCTGGTCTACATAGTGAGCTCTAGGACAGCTGGGTCTACAGGGAGACCCTGTCTCAAAAAGACAAAAATAAATAAATAAATAAATAAACAAACAAACTGATGCTGTGGTGGCACATGCCTTTAATCCCACCACTAGGGAGAGGCAGGTGGATCTCTGTGAGTTCAAGGCCAGCCTGGTCTACATAGTGAGTTCCAGGCCTGCTGGGGCTACAGGGAGACCCTATTGCTAAAAGACCAAAAAATAAATAAATAAAAAAAATAAACTGATGAGAATAGTACATTAACATGCACAACTCCACAGACTTGCCAAGAGCCCCTTCCCAGTACAACTGATTGGGTGCCCAATCTACAAGGAGGCAGCCGTGTAGTCTATCATGAAGAAGAACTCATAAGGGGGCCTGGCTGTGCCAACCCACCATCTGTCATTGGAGCAGCAACTCTTAAGCTGTGCTTGGCAGTCAGAGGGTGAAGGACAGACTGCCCAGCTGTTGATGGCAGGATCTCAGGTTGCATCTGCCTGATGGAGGATCCCAGGTCTGTGGCCCATCTAAGGCAGGGAAACTGACCACGCCTCAGTTTCCCCATCTGTAAAGCCAGCTACAGAGCATATCTGGGCTAACTGGCACTATGAAGGTGACCTGGGCTTCAGACACCAGGCACAGTGATTTTTTGCTTTGGCCTGGTCTATGACTACCTGCACAGGAACAGGTGTTTACAGAACAGGAAGTTCAACAAGGCATTTCTGGTTAATCTGCTCCACTGCTTTTCAAAAAAAAAAAAAAAAAAAAGATGTAAAAAGTGACTGGGGGGCACGTGGTGCCCTGGTTATGGCTGAGGACTCAAGACTGGGCTGGGGCTATTCACTGAGCCCTCTCTCAGCTTCCCTGCATGTGGCAGGACTTGGGAATTCAAAACCCAAACAAGACAAGACTTGGCCGTCCTCCTGGGCCGCAGGCTCTTCCTGGCACATGTCTGTATTTACGCCCTGAATCGGACCACCACACTATGCCTGGTTTTTTATTTCTTTTTTTTGAGACAAGATCTCATGTAGCCCAGGCTGACCTTGAGCTCCCTAGCCCAGGATGACCCTGCATAGATCTAATATTCCTACTGAGTGCTGGGATGACAGTTGATCCACACCATATGCTGGGGATGGACCCCAGGGGTTTGTGAGTGCTCGGTGAGCTACTCTACCCACTAAGCCCCAGCCCCACAGTTGATTTACTAGTTTGCTTTTGTTTCACTTGTCTTTACTTTTTGTACCTGTTTTTGAGAAGATGAGCTGCAGGATGAGAGGCCTCCGGGTGACAATCCCTGACCCTCGGGGAAGGAAGTCCCTGTGAGAAGACAAAGAGACAGAAGTGACTCATATGTTTGCCAGAGGGGCAGGAAGTGCAACTACACTTAGTGGTGCAACTGTCCCTGCAAACATATCATATCAAGCCCAGCAGGACCCTGAGAGCCCTCAGGTTGTAGATGGTCCATAGGCCCCTGGGTCTGGAAAGATCTGAATCCAAGGTCACAGGCACAGAGCTGTCTCCTGCCCCAGGATTTCCAGGGGTGACCTCTCCTTAAGTATTCAGACAATCTCTCCTACAGCAAAAAAATAGTAATAATAAAAAAGAAAAAAGAAAGAAAGGGAGGAAGGAAGGCACAGTAGAGCTGAGAGCTGAAAAGACAGCTTCACGGCCAGCCTGAACTACAGTAAAAACCCCACCTGTCGTCCCAGTAGTTGAGGAGGCTGAGGCAGGATGATGGAGGCATGGAGACCCAGACAGGCTACACAGCAAGCTACTGGTCTCCAAACAAGGAATGAGGGTGCGGCTTAGTGGGTAGAGGGCTTGCCTAGCATGCAGCAGGCAAGAAACTGGGAATAATGGGACACACCTGTCACACCAGCACATGGGAGGTGGAAGCAAAAGAATCAGGAGTTCAGGTCATGCTCAGCTATATAAAGTGTGAGGACAGCCCTCAAGAGACCCTGCCTGAAAAACACATATGCAGGCTATGGGACAATTAGTATTGGACACGTATGTTGTAGACTCCCAAATATATGTCCACTGGTAGAATACACTCTCTAGAACACTGGTGCCCACCAAACAGGCAGCACCGATGGATGCCCTGAAAGATTCTAGAAAGATGGGCAGATTGGAGCCTAGCCTAAACTGGGAAGGCACAATCCCCAGGAATGTATTAACTTCATGTATAGAATGTGTGTGAAAATACACTTACCATGAAAAACCCCCCTTGGGATGCCACCCCTCCCACTGCTCTAACATAGCACCTCGTGTAGCTGGGCATGCTGCCTCAGTGACCATGCAAGAGGCAGGCCCAAACTGTTCTTGGGGCCATAATGAATAAAGATGCCATGAAGATGGACTGCCATATATGCCTTTGCAGATATATGTCTCAATTCTCCAGAGTGACTCACAGGGTAGATTTGTTCTTAAACTGGCAAAACTAGTCCCTGCTGATAGCAATCACAACAGTGATTTTCTTTGGAGAAACAGGAACGAAGAGACATGAGGGAACTTTCTAGAGTGAAAAACATCCTCAATGTTCATCTGCCCCATGGTCACCAGGTTTCATTAGTTATCAAGACAAATCAGGGTGTGCATTTAAGATGTGTGGATCACCATATCTATGCCAAATCTTGGGGTAGGTCACGTGTCTGGCTCTAGTAGCACAGGCCTGTAACCCTAGTACTTCAGAGAAGGAGGTAGAAGCAAAAGTTCTCAGTTAGGGATAGAGAGCTGGCTCAGCAGAGAGCACTGTCTGCTCTTTCAGAGGACATGGGTTCAGGTCCCAGCACTCACATGGCGGTCAACAGCCATCCTTAACTTTCAACGGAATCCAATGTCCTCTTCTGGCCTCCACAAGCATTATACACAAGTGGTATACTTACATACATGCAGGAAAAACACATACACATAAAATAAAAATAACTAAAATCTGCCAGGCAAGATGATATATACCTTTAATACCAACACTCAGGAGGCAGAGCCCAGCAGATCTCTGAGAGCTTGAGGCCAGCCAAACATACATAGGGATTCCAGGTCAGCTGGGGCTACAGGAAGACCCTGTCTCAAAAAGACCAAAGAAATATAAAAATAAAAATAAAATACATAAAATCTTTTTAAAATCTTCATAGCCAGCCTCTGCTATAGAGTAAGTTGGAGGGGCTGGAGAGATGGCTCAGCAGTTAAGAGCACTGGCTGCTCTTGCTGAGGACCCAGGTTTGGTTCCCAGCACCCACATGGTAGTTAACAACTGTAAGTGCAGTTCCAGGGGCTCTGACACCTTCTGACCTCTATGGGTATTGCTTATAAGGGTGTACTTACACACATGCAGGCAATATACTCATACACATAAAAGTAAAATAAAAAACAAAATAACTCAGATCTAAAGAATGACAGAACTTGGGGTGTGACTATGGGAGAGCACTTGCACAGTGTGAGGGCCTAGGTTGAATCTCTAGTACTGTAGGGAAAGAAAATGCAGAGACTGGGGATGTGGCTGTGTTGGCAGAGTGCTCACCCGGCATGCATGAAGCCCTGGGAGCTCTCTCATGTGTCACAATGACACAGGCTTATAATTCCAACATAAAGGACGAGACAGGAGAATAAGAACGTCAAGGTCATCCTTAGCTACATGGCAAGTTCCAGCCTAGCATGGGCTACGTGTGATGGGGATATGGCTGAGCAGAAGAACACTTGCCTAGCATGGGCAGCTAATGCATTCCATCCCTGAGCACTACAAAGGATTAAAGGTTGACCAGATGGGGATAAAGGGGCTTGCAATGCTGATGATCTGAGTTCCAGGGCCCTACATACTAGAAGGAGGGAAAAGACTTGCTCAAGTGGTCTTCTGATCACCACACTGGGGTCATGAACATAAGTGAGCCCCACCCCCACTCCCAAAATAAATGAGATGCAAATTTTTTTTTTTTGTCTTTTTGACACAGGGATACCATGTCTCAGGAAAAAAAATTGTTTTAAAGAATGAATTTAATATGGGGCTAGAGAGATGGCTCAGCAGCTAAGAGCACTGAAAGTTCTTGCAGAGGACCTGGATTTGACTCCTAGCACCAACAAGGCCACTAACAAACGTCCATAACTCTAGTTCTAGGGGATTCTTTTTCTGACCTCCGAGGGCACTGCACGACACAAGTGTACTTACATACGTACAGGCAATACTCATACACATAATAAATAATTTTTTTTTTTTGTCTTTTTGAAGCAGGGTCTTCCTGTAGCCCCACCTGTCCTGGAACTCACTATGTAGACCAGGCTGGCCTTGAACTCACAGAGATCCGCCTGCCTCTGCCTCCCAAGTGCTGGGACTACAGGTGTGCACCACCATACCCGGCTATAAATATTTTTTTTTTTAAAAGAATGAATTTACCCAGCACTCGGGAGGCAGAGGCAGGCAGATTTTTGTCAGTTCAAGGTCAGCCTGGTCTACATACTGAGTTCCAGGACAGCTGGGGCTACAGGGAGACCCTGTCTCAAAAAGGCCGAAAAAAAAAAAAGAATGAATTTAATAAACACTTCAAAGACCCCAAGAAGAGAACAGTTAATAATGATATCCACCCATGTTGACTGTCCAGCCATACATGAAAAGAAAGTGGATTTGATCTCACATGGAACTTCCTCCTGGATGAACATAGTGAGAATTTGTTTTGATACTGAAAAAAACACAAACAAAATACAACAGAGCCTAGGGAGCTGGGCACCTTTGGGAGGAAGTCACTGCCTGCTCGCAAACATCTCACTTTTTTTTTTTCCTTTTTGATCATTTGGAGACAGGGTCCCTGTAGCCCCAGCTGGCCTGGAACTCACTATGTAGACCAGGCTGGCTTTGAACACAGAGATCCACCTACCTCTGCCTCCTGAGTGCTGGGACTAAAGGCGTATGCCAGCATGTCCAGCAAACAATTCAAATTTGTATCCTACTAACTACAAAAGGGACTTTTGCAAATAGCTATGGTCGCACACACAACCCAACATCCCTGCACCCAAGAAGTAAAGAGCAGGAGGATCAGTAGTTCCAGGTCATACTACAGGAAACCCTGTGTCAAAAATCCCAAACTAAATAATTTATTAATTCAATTAAGTATGTCAATAAAAATAGTTGTCAAGCACTGACAGCTTTGAGCTGGGCCCCACCCAAGGTCACAAGGCATCAGGGAAGGGTAGGAACTAAGACCAAACCTCTTGGGATCTATCTGAGCCTTCTGACCAGCAGGCACTTAGCATCCCAGCGCCTACCTAGATGCCAAAGCCATGGGAACTCTCACATGCAGGGCCAACTTTTATTTTGTGAGGCCAGGATGGAAACCAGGGCTTTAAAAATGTTGTGCATCGCTGGGTGTGGTGGCACACGCCTTTAATCTCAGCACTCGGGAGGCAGAGGCTGGCAAATCTCTGTGCGTTCAAGGCCAGCCTGAGCCATGCGCCTAGCCGGGGGATTCTATGCAGGGGCTCTACCTCTGAGACACACTCCCAGCCTCCAGGATCAGACTTTAACCACTGGTATGGGCTGTTCTGACTATACTCTGAGTGCATCTGTGGTGCCAGGCACACTAAAGACATCACCAACCTCTATTCCAGACAAGGAACAGTTTCAAATGAAGACAGATGTAATGGCCAGGGCCAGCTACAGCTCCCACAAGAGAAGGTAGCTCTGAGTTGGGGCCTTGGTAACCAGGGGGCAGGGCAACAAAGCAGGCAGAGCCCTCAGAGGAAGCTGTGTTTGAAGATAGCCAGTCATGTGATATGCTGGGGATGCAGCAGCCCAGGACTCAGCTGATGGTGCATCCACAAAGCCCCAGGATTGAGCACACAGCATCCACCCATGTATGGACAGCTTCCAAATTAGCCCTGTGAAATCTCCCTAGGGTCTGGTGTGGAGGAGCCTTCTTCCTGTATTCCTTCCTTCCTTTTTCTTTTTCTTCTTTTGGCACAGAGCCTCAAAGAGCCCAAGCTAGCCTCAAATTTTACTTATCAGAGACTGACCCTGATCTCCTGCCTCCACCTCTGCAGTGTGGAGGATGGAACCCAGGGCTTCCTGTATGCTATAAGAGCACTCTGCCAACTAAGCCCCAGTCCCAGCCACGCTTCCCTCACACACACACTGTATTTCTAAAACACAGAGGTCCAGAACTCTCTCCTGCAGACTTCTTGTGCTCACCCACAACTGGACCAACCCAGTCCCTGTCTTCAGCTGTCCATGTCTGCCAATAGCCCCGAGCCCCTGACCTTTCCAGGGGTTTGCCTTCTGCCAGGAAACCCTTCCCTACAGGCCCTGCCCACCCAGTAGTGGTCAGAGGCAGTGG